CAGATAAAAGTGTTTCATGCTTATGTTCAAGAAATTTTTGCCTGTTTTCTTCTAAGAGTTTTACAGTTTCATTTCTTACATTTAGGTCTTTGATCCATTTTGAATTTACTTTTTGTATCGGGTTACACGCAATCCAGTTTTATTTTCTTGCATACAGCTGTCCAGTTTTCACAATACCAGTTATTAAAGAAGCTATCTTTTCCCCATCGAATATTCATGACTCCTTTATAATATATTAATTGACCATATATGTGTGGGTTTATATATGGACTTTCTATTCTGTCCTATTTTTTAATGGGTCTATTCTTGTGCCAGTACCATACTGTTTTGATTACTGGAGCTTTATAATATAGTTTGAAGGCAGGGAGCATGATACATTCAACTTTGTTCTTTTTTCTCAGGATTGCTTTTGTTATTCAGGGTTTTTTGTGGTTCCTATAAATTTCAGAATTATTTCACTCTAGTTCATTGAGAAATGCCATTGGTATTTTGATAGGGATTGCACTGAATCTGTAAATTGCTTTGGGCAAGATGACTATTGTGACAATATTAGTTCTGCCAATCCATGAGCATTGGATAGATTTCTTTTTATTTCTGTCTTCTTTAGTTTCTCTCATGAGTGTCTTATAGTTTTCAGAGTCCAGAGTCTTTCACCTCCTTCAAATACCTAGAGTTCATTCCTAGGTATTTTATTCTTTTTGATGTGATTGTTAATAGAATTGTTTTCCTGATTTCTCTTTCTGCTAGTTTTGTGTTAGTAATTGGAATGCAAGACTTCTGTGCATTTATTTTGTATACTCCAACTTTGCTGAATCCAGTTATTAGTTCTAGTAGTTTTTAGGTGGACTCTTTAGGGTTTCTATGTATAATACCATGTCGTCTGCAAATAGAGTTTAACTTCTTACTTACCAATTTGGATGCCTTTTATCTCTATCTTGTCTGACTGTGGCTAGATCCTTCAGTACACTATATGCTGAATAAAAGTGGTAAGAGTGGACATCATTGTCTTGTTCATGGTCTTAGAGGAAAAGATTTCAGCTTTTCACCATTGAGTATGATGTTAGCTGTATTTGATGTTAGTGGGTTTGTTGTATATGGTGAGTTACGTACCCTCTATACCCATTTTGTTGAGAGATTTTATCATGAATTAGGGTATCTCTAGAAAAAGCAAAATTTATGAATACTAAATGCTACCTAATTTCAGAAAAGCCTTCAATTAGAGAAAAACTTCAATATGTAAAGATAGAGAAATATAGCTGCAAACTATTAGTTTATAGATATTTCTATGTATGATGTGCTTATAACATTTTTCCCTCTTTTCTCTTTTTCACTATATCCCTCATTCTGAATCTCTCCTCCCTTCCATCTGTATCATGAATAACACTGACTTCTATCAACCATGGTAATAAGTATTATGTTTTGAGAATTTCATCTCCAATATCTAGATATTTGTGATTTTCCCAGACACCACTGATAAATTTCATAGGTGATTCACCTCTCACAGCATTTCCCATCTCTTCAGTGGGGCTGAAAAGTGCCCTTTAGAGAGAATGGCAGCTGCTGAAGTGGGCCTGGGCCTGGAATGGACAGCAGATATGGGCTTATGGGGCCATTAACTGTTAGCATATTTTTTTCTTCTAAGATCTACGTTGAGATTGGGATGGCAGTAAAGAGGCATAGATATTAAACCTTTGGATTTGTGCAAAGAAGGAGCAAAAAGTCTGTTAGACTTCATTTGCTTAATTACCATAGGGAGCCAAAAAGGAAAGGAGAGAGCAAGGATTAATGGTTAATGGTTAATGCTAACCATTAAAGGATCACTGCCAAAAAGTTTCTTCCTCCTCTGTCTTTCTATGTCTACTGGTCAGTGGGAAACTACCAGCTTCTCCTTGAAATGAGCTCTCTTTTACACTGCCAACAATATGAGTTCTGTTAGAGAAGTATCTCTGTGCACAGCCACTGTTACTGCAGAGAAGCAAAGTGATGAAGGGTAGAGTAGCTGAGTAGAATCAAATGGGAGGAAATGGATGGCAAGAAACAAGTAAGGAAAGAGCTACATACCAGACATCAAAAGCTGTAATTTTATTTGGGCATAGAGCTAATATTTTTGAAAATTTAAATTAAAAACTTCATAGAAGTTTAGAGCTATAAGTTACCTTACAGATAGCAAAATCTAACCATTCTCTTCTACTCTTACATAAGAAAATTGGGAGTCCACAGTGATGAAGAGATTTGTTCAGGGTCATAAACATCATAATAGGGATTGGTTTGGCCCTTGAACTCAGGTCATCTTAAAGACAAACCAGTCTTTTGCAAGGAGCTTAGTGCCAGCTACATATATGAATATTTTCATATGCTAGAGCCATACAACAGGTAATTGTGTGCAAGACATTTGTCAGTCAATTGAAAATATATATTAAGATGACTAGTTACTAAAAATTATCCTTAGACTTATAATAAACAATAAAAATAGAGTAAGCTATAAATCACTTTATTGTGACTTTTTTTCAATTTTATCTGTTTCTTACATGCAAAGAGAAGATAAGAAAGAACATTAGGTGAAGATGACATCACTGAGTCAGTATTCTAACCTCTACACAATGGAAATATTTATACCTTTTTTAGAAACCAAGTAATTACCACCTCTGATTTTTCTCATACTTTTTACACTTCTTTTACTATTTCAATATCTAGCAAGCTCAAGTGCCACATTTTCTCTTTAATGTAATTAATTAATAGCTGAGAGACCTTGGGCAACTTGCTTAATTTGTGAAGATCAGATGAGGTCTTTTATGCAAAAGTGCATAGCTTGGCATCTGGCATACAATCAGTACAATGTCAGCTGTTTTTATTAGCAGTAAACATTTTTTTAATGACAAGAATAAAAAGGGAAAGATCACCTTTATCGGAGAAAATGCAGGATTTGACTACAAGTATCCGTTCACTGTGAATAACAGCTGGTCTCTTTATAGAGCTTAGGATACAGATTACATAAAATATATATATAGGAAAAGGAAAAGGGTAAAAACTTTCAAAGTTCACCAGTTGTAGCCCACAGCATTTCACTCAAGCTCATTAGGAAGTTTACATTTATAATGTAATCTCTCTGAAACAGATTTGATTTTTTTTAGTAAGGATCTTGTAAATTAGAGCTTTCCCAGGGGGCTAACCTAATACAAGTTTTTCCAGAGGTAGAACTCCTTCTGATCAAATATCTCAGAGCAGAAGAAAAATGGTTCACTAAGACTGTAGCATACTGGTTTATATAATTAGCAGTGAATGTCAGACTACCAGGAGCGGCATTAGCAATTAATAATACCCTTGCTTCAGAACTGCATTTAGTAAAAGAAATACATTTAACCTACATAAAAGAACTGTGCAAATTAACAGTACATTGTCAGCCCAGCTGTTGTAAAGTATTACCATATGGCTTTATAGTACACCTTTATTTTACCTCAGAGATTAAAAAGCCTTTTTAAAAAATACTGTTTCCTAAGGTTGTTCTGTGCTACATACAAAAAGAATACCAGTACCTCTATACATTTTGGGGAAATTGGCTAATGTAGGAAGGTTACAGTTTACATGCTTACCTTTTCCTACTACCTCACGTAGCCAAGATTCCAATGAATGAGGTCATACTTACATCAAGTAAAGTAATTCAGAAGTGAATTAAGTTCTCCTTCTAAGCAATGCATGTAGGGATGCTAGTTGTGGAAAGGGTCAATGCAAGAATGAGAGAAAGCAGATGCAGGGGACTTTTCCTTAGTTCAACTTCATATAGAAATGAGGTCCTTAGTTAAGAGTGGTTGCCGGTCATATGAAACAGTGACCAGCACAGTGCCTGGCACCAAATTGACACCAGGTGAATGATAGATACATCAATCAATATATTATAAAATGTCATTAGAACTATATGAGGGTGCCATTATTTGTATGGAATATCCAAATCCACAGAAGCAGATTCTATTCAAGACTAATGATGAAAAGAGCTCGATCTGGAATAAAGCCTTGGAAGAATTTTGCCATGAATGGGAGGTGAACAGATTTGAAGCCAACAAAGTAAATGAACAATGGGAGAGCAACAGTTTTTGAGCACCTCCTCGAATGGAAAACTTTTTTTTCAATATGACCAGGATAGTTTGTTAAGTAATAAAAAAAATTCAAACAAGGCTGACCTTCATTTCAAAAAAATACAAACATATACATGCCTGGAATATTTTAATTTAAAGCTTAAATAAATGCAGCCTGAAGACAAACTGCTGAAGTGGGACAAAGTCCTTTTGGTTGTGTAACATGGGTCCTCGCTTTTCCTGGAAAGGACTAGATAGTCGACATTTTGGGTTCTGAAGACTGCATGTGGCCTGTCACTGCTGCTGCTCTTTCCCTTTTCCCTTCTCTTCCCTTTTTTCCTCCTTTTCCTCTTCTTCCTTCTTCTTGTTCTTCTCCTCATTTGCCCTTTTTCCTTCTTCTTTCTCCCCTTCTCCTTCTTCTCACAGCCTTTTAAAAATATAAAAACGATTCTTTGCTCACAGTCCGTGCAAACACAGGCCATGGCCAGCTTCGCTCTGAGCCTTGTGTGCCGCATCCAGTGTGCAGGGTCACTCTTGGCTATTCTGTTTATTTCTTTGCATACATCACATCCAAAATGGATTGAGTGTAACTTCCACATTCTGTTTCTTTTAACTTTAAACTTACGTTTTAAAGAAATCATGTAGAAAAATGCCAAGCATTCATTATGAATTCAGAATTTTAAAACATTCTGTTTTTTATTCTGATTCTTTCACAGTTTCCTCAGTCTTACCTTTTATTTTGGTATTTTGTCATAACTATGAAGTGGTGTAATACTCCAGAATTGTTTTAATCACACAATTCTGTATTGAAGTCATGAATATGACATTGCATTAGTCATCTATAGATGGCTCTGAAGGCTACTAACTTTATATAATCTTTCCAGAGCATTCAACTTAGTTTCCCTACAAATGTCTGCTAGTTTTTTATTTTTTAATGTGGAATGCTTCATGAATTTGGTATCATCCTTGCACAGGGGCCATGCTAATCTTCTCCGTATCATTCCAATTTTAGCATATGTGCTGCCAAAGCGAGCACATGTCTGCTAGTTTTTTAATTTTTATTTCAAAGGTTTGCCTAATGTTCAATTAAATTGCAATAATAACCAAAAGAGGACTAAACAGGTTGGAAACAAACATAACATCTTTTGGAAAACACCACATTCCATTGGCGGAAGAAGTAACGTGGTACAATAGCCTTCTAGTTGTGGCCTTCAGCAACCTGAACATTACTAAGTATGTTTCAGAAAGGGAATGAAGAGCATTGGTGATGCCATGACTCAGTTTAAATGCAGGTCAATTCAGAAAGCTTAGATGGAATTGCTTGGGCACTAAGCCAAAACTTTACAAACGTTAAATGGTCAGAGAGATAAAGTCCTACAGTACAATAAAAACAGTTAACACATAGTGAACACTTAATTGTACCAAATAATTTTACATGCATTATCTTCTTCAATCCCCACCACAATGCTGTGACATAGGTCCAAGCATTAATATCCCAGTTACAATATTTAGGAGATATGTGATCTTAGCCAAGCTACTTAGTTTTTTTATCTTACTAGAATAATATTCGCTCAATAGAGTAAAAGCATCTACCCAATACAGTTTCTGTTTATTTGCTAGCAAATATTTATTAAATGCCTACTATGTGTTAGGCACTGAGGATACAACAGTGTTTAGACCAATGTCCCCAAAGTGTGGTCACTGGCCCAGCAGCATCAGCAATGCCTAGAACTTTTGAGAAATGCACATTGTGAGTCCTAGCCCAGATCTGCCCAATGAGAAATTTGGAGTTGGCATGTGGCATTCTCTGTTTTAACAAGCCCTCAGTGACTCTGATCCCAGTGACTGAAGCATGCTAAAGTTTGAGAACCACTAATTTAGAATGTAAGGTCCTATCTGGTTGGAGCCTACATTATAATAGATTGTTGTGAGCATTTTTCCAGTTAATCCCTGTGGAAACACACAGAACTCATTAAATATTTGCTATTCTTACTAAAATCACTACTACTTTACTACTCTAGTAATAGCATCATTACTATGAAGTGGTGTGATACTCCAGAATTGATTTAATTACACGTAAGTAACTTCTATCTGTATTTAAGTTATGAATACGGCATTACATGAGTCATCTATAGATGGCTCTGAAGGCAAACTTTAAAAAATGTTTTACAAATTTCAGAGAAGTTGGTCCCTTAAGAGTAGGACAGGTAACATAAATTACCCCTCTAAAGCCTGTACTCAAGTGGAGGTTGCACACTCTACACAAGAGGCCACTGTTACTCAGCAGCATACAATTGTTACGATGCGGAAACACAAGCCCAGCGGCACCAGATTTCACGATTTTTTCAAGTGAAGCTGGAAATCTGGAGTTTTATATAAAATATCCTGGCTTTTAAGTATTTAAACTAATTCCAATTGTGGATCCAACCAAAAACAGCTGCAGGCCACACCAGGCTCTAGGGTCTTCCATGTGCAACTTCTGATTTTACTCATTTCTCTTCATTTTACATACATACATATGAGGGCCCAGAGAAGCTCAGAAAGCTATTAAAGTTCACAGTGCTCAATGAGGAATAGGAACTAGCATTTATGACCTCTTTTTTTCACTACTCTAATGTTTTGTTTAGCCTTCTTCCCATTCTAAAACATATTTACCTAAATTGTTGAATTGGCAAGGAGGTGGGGGCAGAGATCAAAGTATATGGAGTGAGAAGCTGCTGCACATGGTAAGACTGAAGAAATGCTTGTAGAATAAAATTCCAACATGAATTAGAGACTTACAAAGCTCTCATATTTCAAATACTCAGGTATACAGGAAAGTGTAGCATTTTTTGTTTATTTTTTCTTTTAATATACCAACTTGGTTCGATTCTTGGAAAGGAGTTTGTTTTGTTGAAGAACTCAGACTGCTTCTTACTGTCTCGGAAGATTTTCACCCATCTTTATTCCTTTTCTTTGTGCTGGTAACTCAAGTCTTAAATTATAAAACTGCAAGAACTTTGATTCATAAATGCTATGTTTGCATGCAAATGTGAAGAGGCCATTTCGTTTGTATGAGAAGAGTTGAAAGCCCACACGAGGCCAGAGTCCATATGAGGCACCTCACGCTGCACCCAATATGGCATTTCCAGGCCCCAATGAAGTTAAAGTCAGCCATACTATACACCATCATTCAAACTTGTTTAGATTTTTTCTTTTGATTCATGCCTTTGCTGCATTTTGTACATCCTCCTGACCATTCTTAGCAGCTGTAACAACACTTGTGGTATTACCAGTAATTTGCAACTTATCAAACATGATTGAACCTTGTTCTTTTGTGTAAACGAAACAGAACTCTTTGGTTGGCTTTCTTTATACTTTGGACATAGTGTAAAGGAAATGGAGACTCTATTTGCATGCCAGACAATGAAACATAACTCACAGTGTATACATGCCTTTGACATTGTAATTACTAGCTGTTGTTTAGATTCCATGTATGGTCACTGGCTTTGGCTGTGTTGAAATCAGCTGTATCAACATTTAATCAAAGTCTTATAGATTTTGGTTGTATATTTTTCTAACGTCAAAATAGAAATGCTGAGACTAAAAAATAGGTTGAAAGGAATGGAAATGTGTGTGCAATACATTGCAAAAATAATGAACATTCATGGCATAATAAATGAAGTTAATTCTGAATTTGTCAGTAATGAAATCAAACATCACATGGAGCCCATTTAAAATTAGGATTATTTCTCTAGTATTTCAGCAACTTCTAATTAATTTTGCTTCAGTTTACATTCAAAGTAGGCCCCTTTGCAGCATATTCTGTTGACGTACTTTCTGATTTAACATGAAATATTAAAAAGAAAATAATTGTAGTATTTTTCTTCTGAAAAAATGTAATATATAACTCTTAGAAATCACATACAGAATATATAACCAACACCATATCATTTAACATCATATAATATAATGGCCTTCAGCAACATAATGGCTAGTAATAACCTTGTTTTTGAAGAGTGGGATAAATGTTCCTATGTTTATGCAGGGAACTTCTAAAGTTTCATGTACAAGTTGCTTTCTTTGTTTGTTTGGTGGCAGTGGTGGCGGGGGAGATGGGAGCAATGATGGGTGATGCCAGATCCAGGCCTTTCAGTCTGTGCTTTTTCACAAAACTCCCAGGATAATGGTTCTCTCTCTCTTCTACTTGTATCCTTTCTTGATTATATAGTGATCCCCATAAAATTTAGGGCTCTTAAATATGCCCACAACAAAATTATGAACACGTCAGTTAACACATACACTACATGATGCTACACTGAGCAGTATCTTCCACATTTGCAGGATAGAAGGACTCTTTTAATGCCATATAAAGCAACTGTGGTATAAATGTAATGCAGAGTAAATGTTTCTTCAGTCTTAGGCAATTATCATGTACCTATGATATGTAAAGCACTAAAATAGTCACTATGGGATATAAAAACATAACTAAGACTAAGATTTGTCTTCCAAGAGCTTATAGTCCCACAATAAATAGCAATTAAACAACAAAGAAATCAAGGCATGGCAGAATATGATGATAATTGTGGGAGTTGAGATGGGAGAGGAATCACTTCCAGCCATAATGATCAGGGAAGTCTTCATGGAGGATAATATTGAGGAATAGATAGATTTGGGACATTCAGGGTTAAAAAGACTAACTTTCACATTCTCTTAAGTAGCCAGGGCTGCAAAGCTGAGTTTCAGGAGACGGGGCCCATGAGGCGGATTACATGATCCCAAACCAGAAACATTATTTAACTAGATGAATACCTGAATTAGAGGAACAATAGAAAAATTAAGAAGCAGTTAAAATGATTTTAGATAGAAAATAGAAAATAAGAGAGAATAGGCAGGGCAGTTGATGTGTGAATGAAGGAGACAATTTCGGAGAGGGTGGTAGAATCGACAGAGAAGGCTAGGAAAATTTAGATGTTTAAAATTTCAAACGAATATATTGGGAGATGGTTGACTCTTATTAGAAATACAGAAGCTGGGTTGGTAGGACAGACAAGTTCAGATAGAGGCATGCAAAACTTATAAAGAGGAGTAATGATTAGCTAGAACCTAAAAAAGAGCAGAGCCAGAGATGCAGATTCTCAGTGGCTACCCATTGTTTAAGGACGTTATCAAAGAGTTATAAGGAGTCAGGAATAACATCTTGAGTAAAAGGTCAAAAGTCCATGAACATCTGTTGTTGAATTAGCCAGACCCAAAGAAAAATGCAGGAGACTCTTGTGTCGAAGTCAGAAGAGATTTTTCAACAGGAGCTTGGTTTCAACATTAAAATTTGTAAAGAATATGGGTTAAAAAATTATTTGGTAATTAGGAATCATTGAAAAGTTTCTGTAAGGTTGCCTTTAAAAGTTTTTTTTAAGATTCCTACACAGATATCAATACAATAAGTAACAGAAAACAGAAATAGTAAATGCATGATGATATTTTTCAGAGAACTGTAGAGTGAAAAGATGTTTAGGTTGAAAGAGGGACTTTTTTTGAAAAGACAAAAGGCATAGAGGAACAATTGATGGAATAAAGTCTTTCAGGACATAAAAAAAATGCAACCAAGAACACTATTAGGAGTCTTTGGCTTGGAGAATCTATTTCTTACCCTGATGCAAGAGGGAAGAAAAGCATGATGGCATAGGGAATTGGGAAATGGATAGAGAAGTCACATAATTACATGTGCATATGCAAAGGTGGGATTTAGAGTTCAATATAAATACAGTTCTGTGTGAAACAAGGAATCCATAGCACATCACTTTTTAAAAAATCAAATCCCTTGGTAACATTTGCAAACATTAACTAGCAGAGTTCTATATTCAGCATGAAGTATAGCCAGCTTTTGTACTTTAGAATGTATATGAATAATGTTAATCATTTATCATTTAATGCTTAGCTTCAAACCACTATCTGGGGCTACTGTGAACTCGTTTTTTGTTCTGGCAAGGTTCCTCAAAGCAAGGGAGCAATTCAACAGGAAGTTTGACATATAATTTAGTCTTAATTTTTAGAAAT